GTTCAAAAACTGGCTAGAGTTCGGATGATCGGGCAGTTGAATGATAAATAGTGCCGAGAGAACTAGTGAAAGAAAGTGATAGCAGAGCGATTCACCTCAAGAGCTTTTATAAGTTCTTCCTACGTGTCCGTGTCAACACATCATTTTGTGTCGAGATATCTTATGTGCTCGCTTGGTGTTCCGCACTAGTTACAGCATTATTTCCCAAATGAGGCTGCCACATCAGCGCTATCAATTTCAATGCCTTCTCTGAAGTCGAAATGAAATCTCACCAGAGTCATCTACAGGGCTCAATAAGGAGCAGAGTAGGGCCCCTAATGTCTGAACTGATACGTAAAACTACTTTCCAAGTGTTTAGCATACGTTTCAATAAAAAGCAAAACAATGAAATGCATCAAGGACTGGAACCCTGGTCCCACAGCTACGAGACCGCTCACCTACGGCTGCGCCAGTGTCACGAGGGGTTCACAAGCACAAAGTATGGGCAGGGGGCCCACCGCAATGGTTAAGCACAGTAGGAAAAAGGTCCGTAACTTCTCTCCTAGAATCGTTTAGCAGATTTGGAAGTCAGATCTGAAATCAGCGTCCAAAGATGCTTCTAGGAGTATACATCCCATCCTGAATGGCCATGACGAGTTGATATCCTTCCTTTGTCAGTGCCATCCACTTTCATGGAACCCGTCTCGCTCGGGTCGGTTGTCAAGTATTCAGACTTTTGACGTTAAATTTGAGCCCAAACTTTGCCAAGCAGTCGGTCCAGGCTGTTGCTCGAGCGTGTTCTCATTTTCGCAAGCAAGCATCACATCATCAGCATAAATGAGCGTCCAGGAGACTTCCCTTTGATGATCTCGTGAAACGCCATCCACAACGACGACGAAAGTGAGTGTGGAGAGCGCAGAGTCTTGGTACCCCGGGATGATGAGAAACATCATCGAAGCCGCCGCAGGTTCCGCACTTGGCTCTCTTGATAAGGATAAAGATGGCGTACCACCTCGATTAGCTCTTCGGGAACGCCGTGCTGTCAAGCGTGCCATATAACTTCACGCGAAAAGCGATCAAGTGCGTCCTCCAAGTCCAGGAATGTTACCTGTACGGGCTTTTTCTTCTCACGATGTTTCTCCAGCAAAAGGCGAGCAGCGTGTATGGCGTCGATAGTGCTGCCGCACTGATTGGTAGTCAGCTAGACGATATTGCGAACACGGCCGTCAACAATTCTTTTGAAGGTCTTCATGGTGTGCGAAAGTAGGCGAATAGGATAGCTCGAGCAATCTGCCGGACTGCCTCCTTCCAGATCGGTATCGCTGTGCTCTTCAACCACACTTGGGCACGCTCTTCTCTTCAACGATCTGGTTAAAGAACTTCATCAACCACTCCGCAGAAAACCTAGCGTTGCGACTTCCACAAATCTGCTGCCAGGTCGTCGGAGCGTTGCTTTGCCAGCCTTCATCTTCTTCAAAGCTGCTTCTGTTCCTGTTGTGTGGTGTTGCGTTGTGGTGTGTGTGTGTGTGTGTGTGTTGAATGCGAGCATTCAATCTGAAGAAAGTTGCAGTAGTGGTCAGAAACTTTCTAAATCACATAATACATAATTAGCTTCGACAAATCAGATGTTATTAAATACGATTACTCTTCTTGAAGAGCATCATTTTTAGTCGGCAATCTGTGCGGGCGTTGCTGCAAGCAAGGGGAAGGGTAAGTTTGATATGTACACTTTATATTGATTATTGCCATCAAGCTTCGCAAAAAAGTCGAGACAGGTGAAATCGTTTCTGTAAGGATAGTACACCTAAGCGTAAAGAAAATGAAGTCGGAATCCCTTCGACTCGAAACTAAATATCCTAATAACGCCCACTCAAGTTGCGAAATAAGGCATTGTTTAAAGTATACCGCCTATGAATCCAACAAACCTACGAATTCCTCACGTATCTGCAGGTGGAATCGGCGGACTGAGTGACAAATCCGGGGCCTTCGCGAAAAGGTTTGAGCGCATTCAGACTTCGCGATTGAATCGTTCGGAGCGCGGAATGGGTACACTCCTTATCTCTGAGAAGGACAAGGCGTGGCTTTTGAGCATGGCATAGGACGAATTCCTCGTGGAATACTTCAATTGGAAACAACTGCTATCTTGTTCTGTGTTATATGTAGACATGATTGCAACTGCTCTGAAATGACAATATCTCACGAAAACCTGGGCCGCCGCCATTTTAAAATCAAGTACGCAGCCACGCCTACCCGATCTCAGGGATTTCGAGTATACGTTCAGGCGATTAGGTAGCGCGACCGTGACAGTGAGCGCTCCACCGATAAACGGTGCGCCGCCACAACGGCATCATTCAAATTGGGCCGCGTTCACACGGGCACAACGCCGCTTAATTTGAATTCGGTCATTGTGACGATGCACGATCTGACGGTGGGGCTCTTCTTGTCGTGATACCTAATCGCTCGAGCGTTCCTATTCCACGCTTCAAACGATTCGATCGCGAAGTCTGAATATGCTCCTAGGTACGTGTCAAACCGGAGAACCGGCGCTCAGACCTCGCGGAGCACGAGCTCCGTCTGTTCGGATATGTGACAAGACAGTCGTAATGTGCAACGCTGGTGGGCGTGGCGAGCGATGTTACGCCTGACGGACGAGTTGTCTCCTGGCCCTCTGAAGTGCATTGTTAAATTGACGGGGATATATATCGCCCGTCATGAGATCTTGTCTTCTCGTTAATTCATATGGATTTCTTTGCTCTGATCGACTGATGCACATGTCGCGCCGGACGGTACGCTGCCTGCGATCTGTATCCCCCGTTCGCTCACCCATTCTTCCCTGAGGCATTCACTCTGCGGTCCAGCGTTTCTCTGAAACGCGGCGGTTCGGCGAAAAGCTTTCGATACATATCGACTGGCGGTTGGGCGAAAGGGTTTTGGTACGTATCGACGGGCGTTTCGCCAAACCGCGACGTTTTTCGCCTTCGACAAAACGCTAGCTCCATCGCGGTGGCGTTTTTCGCCAGCGAAATCGATACACATCTACTGCTTTTCGCCCAACCGCGGCGGTTGGGCGGTTGGACGGTTGGGCGATTCTCCGATCGATGACTATTGCTTTTCTCCCAACCGCCGTTTCGTCAGGGCCTGGAGACTGTGAACAATGCCTGACGCGGAGTCGGTGAAACCGACAGTTATTCAGCTCTTTTTGCGTTGGCGCCAAATTCATGAGCCTTCAACTATTGCCCAATCAATACCTATTCAATGCTTTTAGCCGTTCTGCCGTTCTTCAGGGTTGTGATGAACAATGCGTAAAGGTGCACTCTTTAATATCTTTCGCGCGTTCTTTCGATTGGCAGTTCTTCCTAATTCTTTCTCACTTTAGAGACTCTGCTAACTGCTTCACGTTCAACAAAACTGAAACAGCGTTCTTAGTTCGCGTCACTTAGGGAAAGGGGAATCAGAGTTCATGATTTCTGTCTAGATTTCTGCTACCGTATTCCCATATTCTCCGGTTCCATACATTTATACTCCTTATCCCTGAGGCTGCGTTCATACCGTGCGACGGCGTCGTCAACGTCGACGATCGACGAAAGCGACGAAAGAGGCGAAACCGACGACTAGTTCCCGAAGATTGTATACGTATCGATCCGACGTAACGGACGAAACCGACGATTTCGACGAAAGCGACGAAAGAGGCGAAAGCGACGAAAGCGGCGAAAGCGACGAAAGCGACGACTACTTCGCGAACATTAGATACGTATCGATTATCGAAAACGACGAAACTGACGATTTCGGCGACTGTGCCAAGAATTAGCTTTTCGTAGATGGTTTTTCCCCCACAATTTTTTCACTTTTTTTATTTATTTTCTGTTTGTAAACATTTTCCCTATCTCCTTCCATCCTCTTGAGTGACCTTACCTTACAACCTATCTTCTTCATTTTCGAGAGAAATACCATGAAATAAAAAAGTATGAAAATTAGAATGGTTACCTGAGGTCCAACGGGACCTCCTTCACGACCTGAATAAGAATTAGTGCATTGCAAAAAAGGGTGCTGGTGATGACTCATCGGCGTACTTGAAGCGCAAATCTAGCAGCGAAATTAGAGTGACACAAACAAGATATGTATACGTTATCTACGAGCATCGAGATCAAAAACTGTAAGATTTTCAAAAAACACTGACAGGACTTCCCTTCCAACCTGTATATACTGGGAACCACATCGATTCCACGTAAGCCACGTGGAATCGATGTCATGGTATTTCTCTCGAAAATGAAGAAGATAGGTTGTAAGGTCACTCAAGAGGATGGAAGGAGCTAGGGAAAATGTTTACAAACAGAAGAGGAAATAAAAAAGTGGGAAAAATTGTGGGGAAAAACCATCTACGAAAAGCTAATTCTTGGCACAGTCGCCGAAATCGTCAGTTTCGTCGTTTTCGATAATCGATACGTATCTAATGTTCGCGAAGTAGTCGTCGGTTTCGTCGGTTTCGCCCCTTTCGTCGCTTTCGCCTCTTTCGTCGCTTTCGTCGAAATCGTCGCTTTCGTCGGTTTCGTCCGTTACGTCGGATCGATACATATATATTCTTCGCGAACTAGTCGTCGAAATCGTCGAAATCGTCGACGTTGACGACTCGTCGCACGGTATGAACGCAGCCTGAGACGGGGTAGGCGTGGCACTCGAATATTGCACAGAGCTGGTTACTCGTTAGGTATTTCAATTTGAGAAGCAGCTATCTTGTTCTTTGTTGGATCGATACGTGACATTTGGGTCGAAATGAAAATACCTTTCCAAAAGCATAGCTTCCATGACGTTCAGGCGAAGTACGCAGCCACGCCTCCATCCCTGGGATTTCGTGTGTACCTTCTTTTGAGCATTCTCTGATTCTACAATGTCGCAGAGTATGAACGCATGAGTTATTCACGACCAGTACAGTATAAAACCGTTTGTCTTTTCAAAGCTCACACAAACTGCGTTATGATGCATTCATTACTATATGAGCATATTTCAGTGCACTTTCACCGTAAATGGTCGTGGAAGAATTCCACGTCAATTTTACGGAAGATGAGAAAGAGCTGTTGTCTAGTCCTGAAAAATGGTTTTCCAAAGTTCTGGGATTTAGCAATTGTTCATTCGTTGACGCACTAGAGAGCTGGAGTAGACGCCATGCGGAAGGCAAGTTTTGATTAATTGAAATCACTTGTTATTAAACTCTGATTTTCAATCCCATTCACTTTGCTGTTTCTTTCTGTTTTCCCGGTTCATGACTGATGCCGATGATATCGAAGACACGATGTTGCGCGAGGTGGTGCGCATCACACCATCAACCTTATACTTGTTTAGGCTTTCATTTTGAGCGCAGAACAAAATCGTCAGTTCTTCTCACCCTCTACATCAAGACCAAAGACAAAGCACTTCCCCCACAGTGATCTAGTTTAATGCATTCAAGAAAAAAAAGGGTGAAATTTTTCAAATGTTTGTAAAAATAGGAGTAGGGAGAGAAATATTTAATGGCACACTTTTATACTCCCGATTTCAGGAAAAGCTGGGTCGAACAGGAAGATCCAAAACGAGTAAAGCCACGTCAAAGAGAGGATTTCGGTTACAAAAACTTGTTACTTCACTACTTCGCTCCGATAAAAGGTACGCTAGCGTATCATACTGAAGAACCTCAAAATGATTATACCGTCGTGTCTGTCATCGCTGTTTTTACAGTTTTCATAGTTTGATTTTCTAAAGATAAGTCCATCTTTGGACGACGTTGTAAATCCATGCCAAATGTTTTTTTTTCTGAAAGATCAACCTCACCAACTGAGATCACAAACAGGCTGCATTCAAATTTTGCCTTGGTGCTTTGAGCGTTTCCAAAAATTACTCGAGAACGGATCACTTTTTGAATCACATCTCAGCAGATCTTCAGACGATTCCTTTGTTTGGCTTTAGCCTCTGTCAAACACGTTCATGTGTTACAAATATTGATTCTGTGTGGAAAGATCACGGATCAAGTGAGGACAATAATCCAGTTTCAGGCAACCTCCATTGTGTATTTTCTGTCTTGACGACGGTTCAGATACCAACGAAGCATGCGGTCGTCTCCGTTGGTGTCCAGAAATTCCTTTATTTTTTGCTGTACATGAACTTTGTGCTGTAAGTTCCTCTCCATTTGTTGCTATCTGCACACTGTCTTATGACTTTAATGGTCTTCACTCTCTTGTTTTAGCTTATGACTCCTGAAGTTCTAACTGTTGATAACCCAACGCCACTAGGAAAGGAGCTTTTCGATACAGATATGAACCAACTACACGCTGCGTTCACACGAGGGCGAAAACTGGTGAGAGCATCTTCTTCATGGGTTCAATAGGTTCTCGATGAAGCAAGCTTCTCTAAAAGTTTTGCTCCAGTCCCTCTTTGGAAAACTTACGCACAGCAATACATCAAAAAGTGAAGCAGCCTCGATAATATTCGTATACCAAATTTTAAAATAGTGCAATTGAACCGGAAATAGGTGAATGCTTTTTAGTAAATCTTCACTTTTGCCGCTTCAATTTTAGGTGACTGGAGTCGATAGTACAGGATAGGATTTTTGCCTGTTCTCGACGAAAGCGTGCGGTGAACATTGAAAATCCTGTATTCATCAGCTTCTCTCTTCTTGTAACCTCGGAATTCCCTCAGTAATCTGTGTCTCACGAGGTTGTTAGGTGGAACATCTGTTGAATTCGGGTTAACTTCCGACTTCATCGTCGTCTTCAGTGGTCTGAACATGTTTCAAAAGTTAGCAACCCACCTCTCCAAGTACCTCGTCAACTCCTTTGGTCCGACATCTTGTGGTAACCTCTCAAGAAGACGTCAACATTATGAAGAACAGACTCACCTGTCCATGATTAACCATCATTTGACCTGAGAATAGGTATTTCATATTGATATAACTTGTTTGTGCCGTCCGAGATTTTTATAAAAATTTCTTCACACCAGACCAACGTTTTGAGTTCTAATTACGCCAGACCGGTCGTCCGCGCGAAGGTAAGTCAGTTTTGCTGGTGGTTTGAATTGGTGACTGATCATATGTCTGATTTACCATGCCGAAGCTGTGAAATGACAGATCATACATGTTTCTTGATGTTATAGACTCTGACGAACTCGAAGGCACCGAAACGTTGGCCGGCTGTGAACAAAGTTTTACAACAATAATGGACGGCTCAGACAAGTTATATTAATCTAGACTAGATAATGTTTCCACCGTTTGAGCAGAAAAGTCTGCTGCCGCACGTGTTGCTGTCATTCTACAGCTCTCAGAGAAGTATAAAGCAAAGACGGTGAGGTCCTCATGATACTCTCATCCCTATCGTTGGGCAAGTAGCGCAAATCTCTGGTATGCGTTGCCTGCCGTGGAGTCTACTACAGACTATCCTCGCCAACTGAACATCGTCCTGCAACAATCCCTATACTCTATTTGATTGCAGCGCTCACCTTATTTCGACGCAGTACCTACTGTGGGCCAATATGCGGTCATCGTCGAGAGTGTGATGCCGCATATCCATTCATAGCGGTTGTATTTCTAGCCTCCTGACCCTTCTCGTTCTACATACCGTATGTACACTCCCGTTACCGATCGGAACAGGTTAACAGTGCGCTTCACGGAGTTGGTTGTGTTCCTATAGAACAAACCATTGTCTTCTTCGAACTACTTCATTTTGCCAGAGTAACGCCCTTGGATACCTTAACTTGCGTGTCATGAACTCGTAACTTACCGTCTTGCGGGTTTTCAGGTCTCAATGTGGCGTCAGCGGCTATTTATGCATCTTCGAAACACCCATTAGTTTCGGACACAGTACATTGAGAGCGAGCGCTCCGACACGGTTCTTCTATTCTTCCTATAAAGCAGACTGCAAAAAGTGGTGCAAGACGCTGACCCATGGCAATCCCTCTGATTTGAATAGCAATTGGCTCGCCGGCTGACGCCGGCGCGCCCCCTTCCGTGATACGGCCCGGTCTTCGCCGGGCGGGCGCGGCTCCGTCGCGCTTCTCTTCTTCTACAGTGGGAGTATAATCCAGCTTTTATTTCACATGTACACATAGTCAACGCTCCTTGACCAATAGCTCATACCTGCTACTTTCGACACTATTACCGTCTATGAAATGGTGGTAAGCAGCGTTGATCAAATGCGCAGATGAGAGAGAAACCGGGTATTAGTTGAGCATTCAAACATACGCAAGCAGGTGGGCGCGACGAAGTAAGCAAAACCGGCAAAGCCTGGCCCTATTAGAAAAGGAGTCGCGCCGGCGTCAGCCAGCGAACCGACTGGTATCAAATGTACCTGTGACAACAGGTGTTCAAGAGTGTGGCCTATGCACTAAAACGCAGTGAAAATAGGGATCGCGTGCTTTAGAACACGCACCGTCCACTGTGGGTGGGTCTCAACACGCTACAGACACGCTGAAATTTCGCTATATGTTCTCTTCTCCAAAAGTTTTTCCTGATCTCCAAGCTCACTCAGATCCGAACCACGAAATTTTGCAGCAAGCACCGCCCATCTCGAAGCAGCCCGCCCATTTTTGGGATGTCTCCTCCACTTCGTCCGCTAACCCCTTGTGGACCTCAATCCACCTGTCCCCGGTGCCTATGCTGCTCTGCAACTAATTCGTGAATTTTTGACCTTCGCCCGCCCACAACATCGACACAGCTCCGCACAGAATGGGCGCGTAAATCTCGCTTCAATAGCGGAGCTCCTGCACATTTTTGCTCGCCTTTTGCCGGTGTCTGGAGTCTGTTCTGGAACCATTTCACAGATTTCTGCGTTTGGCTCCGCTCGGCCCGCTTCGCCGAACGCTCCGCCAGCAACGTCTGTGTGCCGCGTCGACCACTTCCATGTTTTAAAGAACCTTTGTAAAGGAAGTGGTCGACTTGTCTGACTCAGCGCACCTCGGGCTGGCTCCGCCCACAACATGTGTGCCTCACATTGCTTAAGGCTGCGTTTATACTTTGCGGCAGCGTAGCGTGACGTTTCCAGCGCGCGCCAGCGGCAGTGTCGGGGGGAAAGGATAGATATCGATATTCTAGCGTTACGCCAGCGCTATCTATCTAGCGCTCCCAGCGTTTCACCAGCGTTCTGCTAGCGTTTGCAGCGGCAGGGAGTAGAGACTATGGGAGAGTAGGAGAGTACAAAACACATCGACACATGTACTCTCCTACTCTCCCATAGTCTCTACTCCCTGCCGCTGCAAACGCTGGCGAAACGCTGGGGGCGCTAGAGCGCGCGCGCCAGCGCTAGATAGCGCTTTCGTAGAATACTCTAGCGTTACGCTAGCGTACGCTGGTGACGCTGGGAACGCTAGATCGATATCTATCCTTTCCCCGACACTGCCGCTGGCGTGCGCTGGAACGCTACGCTGCGCTGCCGCAAAGTATAAACGCAGCCTAACCGGCCACCCTTTGCTGACCTTGATCCTTTTTTCCGGTCCCTATAGTGCTCTGGAACCGTTTTACAGAACTTTTGTCTGTCTCCGCCCACCTCGGCTGGCCCGCCCACCGCTGTGTGCCTAAAAATCCTCACGGTGATCCTTTGTGCAGCTTAATCTGCTTTCCGATTTTTGGAGTGTCCAAAAACGTTTTCTGACCTTTTTGTCTGTCTCCTCCCCTCGGGCTGGCCTCGCCCACAACCTGTGCGCCCAACATTCCTTACCGGTGACCCTTTGTTGATTTTGATCTGCTTTTTTCCTGTCTCTTGAGTGCCGTTTTATAGAATTGTCCGTCTCCGCCCACCTTGGACTGGCTCCGCCCACAACACGTGTGCCTCACATTTCTCGATTGGCTACCCTTTGCTGACCTTAATCCACTTTTTTCCGGTCTTTTTTTCTGCGGCTTTGCCAACTTTCGGTCATGACCGCCCACTGTAGGCAGGGCTTTCCATGGATCACAGGTGCTATTTGCATCTTGTCCCATGCCCTACCCATCCCCACCTTGACCCGACCTCTCCAAGTTGTTCTTCAGGTCGAACCGAATTTCCGGACAAACAAATAGACGAAGCAAATTATATATTGTACTGTCCTTTCGGAAATGTTGCACCTCAAACATTCCTTGAGTGGAATTATTATATGTGCACTTGGTCAAGTCCAAAGGTCGTATGATTGCACATACCTGTGTAGCGTTATAGATAATGCTTGCAGGGCTTGCTCGTTTTGGACATTAGTATAAAGCGATGTAACATCAAATGACTCTACCACAGCATTGTTTGGGATATTACAATGCCGTAGCTGTTCAAGGAAATGATTTGTATTTGGCAGGTGCGAGTGATTTGTGTGACATTGCACTAGAAACAAACTCAGAATTAACAATCGAGATGAATGTCTTTCCATTATAAGAGACATGCTACCATTTATACCCCGCTGCGGGCTGTAGAATGATCGAGCGTTACTTGCAATATCGAGCGTTACTTGCAATAGTCTCCAAGTTCTCTCTTCGTATAACCTCGGCATTGTTGTAAATTTGATGTTCTATTACTTCTGCGCCAACGAGGTTTGTAGGTGGAACTTTATTTACGGCCTAACGTTTCGACCAGATCGTCGTCCTCAGAGGCCTGAACGTAGCTCAAGATTTTTAATTTGCTCTCTACACCGCCAAACGCCTCGTCGCCCTAGCGTTTCCGACGGTACTTCCAGAAACAACCAAAAACCTCCCGTAGGTAAAACATACTCACCGAGTCCACCGCGGCATGAGCGGATCAAGGTCGCTCCTCTAGGTGTAGCAATGTAAG